ACTGGCTGCCGCTTCCAGCAGCTCCCATTGGCCTGGAGCAGCGAACCGTGGCCAGTGGGAGCCGCGATCGGCCGGACCTGCGGACGGGGCAGGTAAACCAGCCCGGCCCGCCAGGGGCTTTCCCTACACAAGCGGCGACCCCAGTTTGAGATAAGACACCCAACTCCCCAACCTGCCACCGTACGTGGCATATCACAACACATGGGATACAGACACCTGGCATTCCGCACACCGAGCACTGCCAGAAACCTACCAGTCCGTCTACCCCTTGTGCTAATCAGCTGATTTGCAAAATAAACAAGACACATGTGGACACCCCCCTCCTTCCCTACTCTTCTCTGTCTATAGCTGCGTCTTTGCCTGAAGGATGCAACTACATAATGCAAGTACTGAAACAAGTCAATCAGCTCACAGTTTTAATTATGGCAAATTAGTTTTAGAGAAACCCACCCACAAGAGAATGAGTAGGACCTTCAATATTAGATGAGCATGACTATGGGAGGATAGCGGAGTGGTCTAAATGGACCAGGGTACGTTACACTGCCTTGTAGCTGAACGATGTCAGAGATATCATTAGTCATAGGCTGCATGGGATTGGCTCCAAACATGCAAGAGTCATTTGGGCTTAGAAACCCAACCTTAATGTTTGACTGGCTTAGACAGACGGAAAGAACAGTTTTAAGTTTTGCGGATACGTGCACTAAAGGATTACAACAGCCTGCAGATAACCCCCCAAGAGATCTGTGTTACAGCATGCCCTGGGGAAGGGGGGAATATTGGAAATAGTTTTACTGGTTCTAGAAACCAGTTTCCAGAATGCCATTCAATTATAGCAATTGGTATTCAGGCAGCCCCCTGGAAGCAAAGGGTTTCAGGAATATAGGGCTTCTTGAAGGAGGTGGAGTCATCCAGATTCCCCGGCTGGTTAATTTAACACTGCCATATTGTAGATATTCAGTCAACAAGCCTTTCTAACCACTGGATTTCAAAATGTGGAAGCAAAGGCCATTAACAAAGTCCATGCTGTAAGAGGAGAAGCCCTGCTTTATCACTGAGGCCAAGAGCTTGGTCCTACCAGAAGATCAGCATGGCTAACAGGAACCGCCAGAGGTATGGTAGCAAGGAGTAAAGCCACAGTTTAAAAACAAGAGTTCCACAACGGATATACACTCTCATGCTTTAGGATTCAAACCAATCTCTAATGGAGTTCAGGGCAGGTTATTTCCGAACCTGGGTTTCATGCACCTTTGTCTGGAGCATTGGGTATTGGGCACTATCAGAGACAGGATAGCTAACTGGAGCATTGGTCTGATCCAGCATGGAAATCCCTATGTATTTTCCCCAGGAAGTTAACATCTACTTAACATTTTCAGACTGGTAGCTCATTGACATTCAAACACAAAGCAGGTTATTTAACTAGAGAAGGAAAAAACCCTTACATCCTAGAATAGCTTTATTTTAGCTATACGTATCTTCCCACCCGCTTCCCATCAGATGTAGGAATAGATCACTTTAGGAATAAATGTACAGCAGGAATCTGAATCTCTCTCAGACTGGGTGCTCCTTGCTGACATCTTTAAAAAAACAACAACCCCAAACAAGATGCCCTAGGGCTCCCGTGAGGCTGGCCTGCTTGGTGATGAGTCAGCGCTCAGATACTACAGCAAGAGGGCCTACTGAAAAAGACAAAGGAGATTTCCTTGGCGTCACTAGGAAACACTCCTCTGCAAGTCTGGTTACAGCATGGTTTATGAATAAATTAGCAGGAAATATAGTATCACTCCGTGCCCCTGAAGGAGAATAGATGCTTTGGAGGTTAACATTTGAAGACACTGAATTGGGGGAACAGGGGAGTGTAAAGGTTTCATCATCCTGTCTCAACAGGGACTGAGATTAGGTTGGGGACAGTACTGTGAGCTTTTTCTTTTTTTAAATTACCAGCTATATTTAGTTACATTAGTGTCATGAGACTGATTTAAAGGGACAAAAATCAAGGCAACTCCAAGCGTCCCTAATTCACCCCCTGAGCCTCAGAGCAGGCATAAGCCACCTCCTGGAAGCATGGATTTCTTGCCACAGCGAAGTGTGCTGAGGCCAAACAGTAGTACAATCTCCACGCTTCCTGTTTTTTGTGTAAGTTCCAGCCTTTCTATCATTAACAAGGGGGCCAGGAAGGAGAAAAATTTAGTTGGGATGTCTCCAGCAAGAGACACCCCCAAGACCTCCACTCTGCAAAGCGGCTGGCTCTGAGTTTTGGCAATGGGATACCGAGTCTCTTGCCTCTGGGTCACTGGTTTAAACCAGTAGCAGCCAAGAGCTGTTGCTAGCTGGTAGCTGTTTGGTGGCCCCAAGTGTCATGAATTGGTGGCCTCAGCCTGCTTCCAGAACACAAGCATCCACTCCACCAACAAAGAGACACCCCGGTTACTGACTGAGGCAGCATCCTCATTGGAAGCGTCAGCGACAAGGCCAGTACCTGGGAAAGCAGCTCCCCTCTAGCCCTAGAGGTATAGTGCCTCCAGGTCAAGTTTAAAGCACAAGGTGGGCAGGAGTGAAAGTCCCTCTGCTCTCTCTGAGGAGGGACCCAGGACATCAGCCTCCCGGGCTACAGTCTTTCACCAGCACCGCATTCAGCTATTTCCAGAGCGCATTGTTTGGATGTTGTGCACAAACACCAGGGCTGGAATCCAGGACATGGAAACATTTTCTGCTGAGATAGATACAGCATCTGTTAATTGCAGTTTGGTTTTTTTATTAAAGAGTTACTTTTGAGAGTAGGAGCAGCTTAGGCGTGTGCTTTCACGTCTATAAAGAGAAACCAGTAAGCAAGAAGGCACGTGGAGGGTTGCCTCCTATTCCCTGCATCAGAATGCTACTTGGAGAAAGGCAGACTCCGTTCTGGATTCATTTCAGCACATTAACAAATTTCAAGGTCATGTGAGTTGCTAATCCACTCTGCTGCATTCACAGCATGGCGTTCCCCTCCCCGCCTGCTGTTAAGGCAGAGAGGCTGCTGAGCTGGAATCACAACATGGGTATCTAGGGAGACACTGAACAGCCCTTTCAGCTAGTCAGTCCCTCAGCTGCGGCGCTGCAGAGCCCCGTCAGATATGCTCGCTAAAGGAGTTCCCTTCCTTGCAAGTTCTAGACTGAACCGCTCCCTCCAGCACCATTATTTACCTTAATCGGTGCAGCAAATTTAAGTTGACACAAGCAGCTTTGACATTCCAAGCGACTCACCGCATTAGGCCTGCAAAAAAAACCAACCCCCCCCCCCCACAAGCAATACGTATGCCCTGCCCTCTCCCGACAGGTTGCTCAGTTATAAAAGGATACGACAGAGATCAGGGCAATTCTTCCTGACCTGAGCAGGGCGCAGTTTGTTTTTTTTAAAAAACGATCCCTTCTTTCTTCAATTCCTTTAGCAGCTTGGACAGGGAGACCGCTTCCTCCCACTGGAATACTGCTGGGTAGCCTGCCAACCGGGGACACTGGACAACGGTTCAGACAATCTGCTCCCTTTCTAGCTACTTTACACTGCCAGGGGCTGGCGAGCCAGACTTGGACTTGAACGTGAAGCCCATGATGCTTCCTAACCCCTCCTTCCAAACACCCCTCTGTAATGCAGCTCTATTACTGGAGGGGTGTGCTTAACTCAACTAAATGAAGACAAGGCAGCTTGCAGTTTTCACACAAGTTAGCAAGTCAAGTTAAAGACCACAGTGTTTGCTAATCAAGTGAAAGTTACCAACTGCCTTTACTTAGCTAACAGGATAAAACCCTAGTGAACACCTTTCCCCCATCCCCAGTGAAGACAAGGCTTTAGTGTTTCGAACTCAGACTACAT